CCCTGCCGATTGGCCAGGCGCAAGTCGGGTCTTGTTACACAGGATGTGGTCATCTCTATGGCGCGCACGTCCCTTGATTGTCATTGGTTAGTTTAAATCCCGGGCGTGGCCAGCATAGGCCTGGGCTTCCGGGAAGAAGGAGGTCTGAGCACGTGGCTACTACCCCAACATGGACGGCGCAGCCCTTGCCCCTTCACCAGCACCCAGGGGGAACTCAGCACCTAGAGGTGCCTCCTGGCATCATCCATAGGGGCAAGAAAGTATCACCTTAATCAGAAATCGGTGCCAGCTGCCTCGAGTTTCCAGGTAACGGGATAGAGGCTACTTGTTGAAGCAAATAGACCCCTCCTATGAAAATCTATAAAATGGGGGTTTGCAGCAGAAGAGGTGGCCTGGCAGGCAGGGGAGCCTAGGCTCTGGGGGGTGGGGGAGGCTGGCAGGCAGCGTTGGCATCATGGGGAGAGCAGTGTCTAGGAGTGGGCACTCCCAGCGAGAGGAGTCCACTGCATGCCAGCCCGGCCCCTAGAGCCGCCGTCACCACCACCAACATGAAAGACGTGTGGATCCTGCCGGCAGGAGAACCTGGAGCTGGGAAGACATCTGGTCAGTGAAGAATTCCCAGAGGAGGTTCCTCCCTGGGCAGAAGAAATCACTATTCCAGCTTATGTCGCCCCTGAGAGAGCACCAACACACACCTAAATTACTCAGAAGCAGAACAGAATGATGAACAACTTCAAGAAATACCACAGGCTGATGTCATCTGCATAGTTTATGCTGTTAACAAGCATTCTATTGATAAGGTAACAAGTCAATGGATTCCTCTCATAAATGAAAGAACAAAAACAGCAGGTTGCCTTTGTCATTGGTTGGGAACAAATCTGATCTAGTGGGATATAGTAGTGTGGACACCATCCTTCCTATTAGGAACCAGTACACCGAGATAGAAATCTGCATGGAATGTTCAGCAAAAAAATCTGAAGAACATATCAGAGCTCTTTTATTATGCCCAGAAAGCTGTTCTTCGTCCTGCAGGACCCTTCTACTGCCCACAGGAGAAAGAGATGTAGGCAGCCTGTATAAAAGCCCTTACTCATACTATTTAAAATATCTGATCAATGATGCTGAGCTCAACTTCTTTCAGAGAATTTATTTCAACACTCCGTCAGCTCCTCAGCTCTGGAAGGTGTCAAGAATGCAGTCAGAAAATACAGAAGTGACGGTGTGGCTGACAGTGCAGTGACACGGAAAGGCTTTCTTTTTTCACGAACTTTATCCAGAGAGGGAGAGTGAAACTACTAGGACTGTGCTTTGACCATTTGGTTATGATGATGACCAGGATTTGACACATGAGTATTTATTCCCAGTGCTTGTAGATCACAAGGCTTATTTGTTTCCCCAGAGTTAGGTCATGGGCATATTTGTTTATCCAAAGCACCTTTGACAAGCATGATTTGCTAGAGGCTGTGCTTTGTTACCTGATGAGCTAAAAGATTTGTTTAAAGTTTGCCCTTCATACCTTGGGGGCCAGATGTGAATAACACAGTTTGTATAAACTCTGAGATCTTCCCTGGGACCTCCACATTCGGCTTTTTGGCCCCTTGAGTGTGGCTCTTCCTAAGCCTTAGGAGTACCCTAATTAAGTTAACAATGTACCTACCTATATAGTTTAAGTTTAAAAAATTTGGCTCTCAAAAGAAATTTCAATTGTTGTACTATTGATATTTGGCTCTGTTGACTAATGAGTTTGCCGACCACTGGTATAAATGAAAGAGGCTGGATAACCTACCAGTGGATTCCCTTCCCAGTGGCCACTCACGACCTATTTAGGTGGACGGAGGTGCCTGGAGTGTTCGGGCTACTTAGGCTGTTCACTATTGACTGAACAAGAGTCTCAAGCTTCAGCCATTACAGTAACGAGATAAAAAGATAGACCTTCAGGAAAAAGACTCAAAGAAATGTGTTCAGATGTAATATAATTGGGTGAAAAAACTGGGGAAAGTGGAGTTCTTCAGACTCTTCTTGGAAGAAACTTAATGAGGCAGAAGGAAATTCGTGATGATCATAAATCCTACTATGTGAATAATCCCTGTTTATGTATGTGGATGAGAAATACTTGTTGCATAATATCTCCGAATAGGAATCTCTCACTGGGGCTGAGAGCACTGTGACATTGCATGCCTGGTATATGATGTCAGTAATCCCAAGTCCTTTGAATACCATGCCAGGATTTTTAAAAATATGTTTTTATTGATTTCAGAGAGGAAGGGAGATAGAAACATCAATGATGAGAGAGAATCATTGATCGGCTGCCTCTGTACGCTCCACACTGGGGATCGAGCCTGCAACCGGGGCATGTGCCCTTTTCCGGAATCGAACCTGGGACCCTTCAGTCCACAGGCCGACGCTCTATCCACTGAGCAAAACCGGCTAGGGCTGTGCCAGAATTTTTTTTTTAATTTTTTTTTAAATATATTTTATTGATTTTTCACAGAGAGGAAGGGAGAGAGATAGAGAGTTAGAAACATCGATGAGAGAGAAACATCGACCAGCTGCCTCCTGCACATCTCCTACTGGGGATGTGCCCGCAACCCAGGTACATGCCTTTGACCGGAATCGAACCTGGGACCTTTCAGTCCGCAGGCCGACGCTCTATCCACTGAGCCAAACCGGTTTCGGCAGAATTTTTAAGCAACACTTTATGGACAGCAGAATCCTTTGCTTAATCATAGCTGCAAAGTCAGACCTGCATGAAGTTAAACAAGAATATAGTATCTCACCTTCTGATTTCTGCAGGAAACAAAAGCCTCCACCACAAGCCTTCACTTGCAATACTGCTGAGGCACCCAGTGAAGATATCTTTGTTAAGTTGACAACAATGGCCATGTACCTGCACATGACACAAGCTGACCTCAAGAGCGCCACGTTTTGGCTTCGAGCAAGTTTTGGTGCTACTGTTTTTGCCGTTTGGGGCTTTGCTATGTACAAAGCATTATTGAAACAGCAATGATTAAAAAAAATACTGGCCCCTACCAAAACAAATACTTTTACGTACATTCTGAATGCTTTAAACTCTGCTAGAAATATTGACATATTTGCTGAGTTACTTTATTAATTATTTGTAATTCGTGCATAAGAGTATTTTAACAACAATTGTAACTGCAGTATGGGCTAGCATATGGAAAGAAACAGCTTAACAGCCAGACTAAAGTGGCTAAATTCCAGAGGCCAAAAGGGAATGTTTTGTAAATAATGTACATATTCAGGCAAGATATGGTCTCCCAAACTTAGTTCTAGAAATGATGTTTCTACATAGTATTGCTGATGCTCAGTAGGCTCATTCTTCTAGGCTTAAGTCAGCTCATGGATCACTTATTTATTTCACATTTATCGGAATGGTCTTTGGGTCCTTGAAGTACACAGGCACAATTTGCCACTTTCTCTCCTTGTTAAAAACAAACAAGCCAGTGTCAGCTTACCAGCACAGCCTTGGTTGAGTCACATGGGTGGGCCCGCCTGGGAGCCACGCGCTGTCTAGACCAGTGGTCGGCAAACTATGGCTCGCGAGCCACATGCGGCTCTTTGGCCCCTTGAGTGTGGCTCTTCCACAAAATACCATGTGCGGGCACACACGTACAGTGCGATTGAAACTTCGTGGCCCATGCGCAGAAGTCGGTTTTCGGCCTGGGCGAGTCTATTTTGAAGAAGTGGCGTTAGAAGAAGTGGGGGGTGTCGGTTGGTTGGGCGGTCGGTCGGGCATCGGGGAGACACGGTGCAGGCAGGCCACGGGATACGCAGCGCTGGGGAGGTGCGAGCAATTCATGCATGAGTTGAGTGAGCCAGTCAGTCAGCAGTCTCATTGTGCAGTGGTTAGTGCTAGTCGCGTCCGCAAATCGCGCACGGGTGACAAAAGATGGACGAAACAAGTATACAAGACGAGTGTGGATGGGAGAGTTGGAAGGGGTCGACCTCAGCGACCATACCTCAATCAGATTGAGGATGTTTTTAGCAAAGGCCAGCTTAGGAGTACCCTAATTAAGTTAATAACAATGTACCTACCTATATAGTTTAAGTTTAAAAAATTTGGCTCTCAGAAGAAATTTCAATCGTTGTACTGTTGATATTTGGCTGTGTTGACTAATGAGTTTGCCGACCACTGGTCTAGACAATTGTATAGCTGAGTGGAGGCTCTCCTTAAGGAAGGAGGAGCTAAAGGCAATTAGAGGTGTTACCTGCGCGATTATGTTGCTTCCTTTGTCAGGATGTTGAATTTTATAGCCCTTTCAATCAAATGAGAAAAAAGATTTGTCTATTATCAATGATTTTAGTTCAAATAAACAGTCACCACTACAACAATTGAATTTCCTCCCAAAGTGTAAGTCATTCTACAAGGGCTGTGTCTGCCCTAGTGACTTCAGCAGCTGCATGTGGCACGAGTGTTCTATGTCTGGCTGGGATAACCTAGAAGCAGCACTTTTTATTTTATTTTATTTTTAAATATATTTTATTGATTTTTTACAGAGAGGAAGGGAGGGGGATAGAGAGTTAGAAACATTGATGAGAGAGAAACATCGATCAGCTGCCTCCTGCACATCTCCTACTGGGGATGTGCCCGCAACCAAGGTACATGTCCTTGACCGGAATCGAACCCAGGACCCTTCAGTCGGCAGGCCGACGCTCTATCCACTGAGCCAAACCGGTTTCGGCTAAGCAGCACTTTTTAAAATGGTAAAATAAATCTCATGAATATAAACTTTCATGATAAACCTATTTTTTCCATCATTGACTGTGGAGAAGCAGGGGACTTGGTTAGAATGTCCGTAAGGAGGATTATCTGAAAGGTCAGGGCCTCTGAGGGGACCTTGCTGAAGCAGTCCAAACAAGTCTGAGCCGCTGGGTGTTTTGCTAGAATCTCTATGTTTAGTCTTTAAGCATATACTCAAGGATACCTACCCTGCTGATTGTATCTAGAGGTTAATTTTAGTTCAAGCTGTTGTGACGATAAATGCCAAAGGAGGCAGGTGAACAGGGCTGCTTGGCGGTGACAGCCAGGTCGTGCCTTAGCCTCTCCTTCACAGAAACGTGTGTCAGAGCAACCATTCATCCATCGCTCAGGGTCTGCCTGTCAGTCCCGGCAAAGTGGTGCCCCATGGGAGGAGGAACCAGGAATGCAACGAAACGCAACGGAACCCTCCAAAACTAAGAGTAAGAAAATGAAGGTAACTGCAGGAAGTCATTGGAGCCGGCTTGGGATTTCCAAGTTCCAGGGAATTGTTTCTCAGCTAAGGAATTCACTACCTCTGTTATGCTTCTTAAGAATGTCAGTATGTTTTCCATTGGAAAAATAATCCTGTTTCTGAAAGTAAGGAAAAAAAGGTTTTTCTTGTATTTGCCTAGGAAGCAAAGGTTTGATATATATGATTAAAATAATTATGTTATATTAATCTGGAAGTTAATTACTTTAAATGAATAAATTACTTAATACTATTTAATAATAATAAATAATAATATTATATCTTTGACCACCTTCCTAGGGTTTGAATTTTAAGATATGCTTTCTCTCCTTATGAAGTAAAATTTTATACTTAAGGTATATGGGGAGCTCTGACAAGTAAGGAAATAATAATTATATTCTATTTATATATGCATATTAAATAGATTCTGATATGCTTTCATTTATAACTAACTTAAGTTATAATATTGTGGAATATTGTGCTTTACAAAAAGCACAATATGTCATATTACTCTATAAAGTATCTAGATTTATATAAATACTGGCAAGAAAAATCAGAAGAAAAAGTTTAATTATAGGACTAAATAAACTAAAAATAATTATAGTTTTGGTAATTATTGTTCTCATGGCAATATGTTTGCATGGATCCAATAAGAATCTGATTTCTTCACAACAGGACATAAGTCAGTTTCCAATTGTAGTTTTATTAACCAAAACTTTGCTGGAATGTCATGTCTGAAAGAGACATGCCAGGACTCTGGATGTCACCAGGATGCTCTAAGGAATGAAGACTGACTGAAGCCGATAAGCCCCTTGGATAAAAAGCCTGGTACCTTGCTTGGTCATGTGGTTCATGGCAATCTTTCCAGGTAAGGAACAAAGGTTGCTTTCCAGAGAGATGGCATGAAAGAAACCTCAAGACACCTGTAGGGACCTCAACTTGAGGAGTGCACCCCAACTCTATAGGTATTGCAGGTGAAGCCTGATGGCAACTGTGTGGCTTAGCTTCTTTGCCCTGGGGGTGAACTTTATCATGAGATTCCAGCAAGGCATATATATATATATATGTTATGCCCAGATTTCAGGATCCCCAAGAAACCACACCAGGGAGCCAGCCATATCCGATGCAAAAGCATAAGAGACTGTATTCGAGCTAGCTCGGCTCCCCCACCTCGCCGACACAGCAGCAGGAAGCAGAGAGAGAGAACTCTGTGTGGAGAGGGGTTTTATAGGGGGGTTGGAGTAAGGGGAGGAGAAAGGACTGTGGGCCCTGCCAATTGGCCAGGCGCAAGTCGGTGTCTTGTTCCTGGGTGTGGCTAGCAGAGGCTTAGACTTCCAGGAAGAAGCTACTTGCCAAGCACATGGCTGCCCCAAAATGGAGGACATAGGGTAAGTTGGAGGGCGTAGTCCTCGCCCTTTCAATATATAATATTATATATAATGTTTTTTTAACGTATAGCGGTCAGTGTATGTAAAGTGCCAGTACAACCTCCGAAAATAGTGCTCTCCCACGTCCAGTCCCAGGGCGCCCGGGGCTAGCCCTTGCCCGTGAGGTCCAGTGGCTGCAGGAAGGGCGGCAGCGGCAGCTCATCCAGGGCCTCGGGGAAGCGGCAGGGCGAGATGGCGGTGA